TAATTAATACTACATCATCAAGATATTCTATCTTTATTTGCAAAATATAAAAACTTCGAAAGGTTGTTTAGCTCTATTTTCGATTTAGAATTTAATAAAGACTCAAATTTATTAATTGTTGGCCACCTACAGAAATATCCCTTTAAAAACTTTTTTCTAAGCTCTCTATATCTAGGACACACCATCAAAAAGTGAAACTCTGTTTCAACTCTGTTCATATTACAGGACTTACATAACCGTTGCTCTCGCGGAATATTCGTATATCTTCCGGATTCTATAAATAGCTTATGTGCAGATACCCGAAATTTTGATAAAGTTGTCATATATTTTCTATCTTGTATACAATCAATATACGCCTCGCGTTCAAAAGTGTGTTTAAATAAACTATAGCTTTGTAATCGCGGAGAATTATTTATTTCTGCATACCATGACTGCTTATAATTATCCAAGATTCTACGCTTTATCATATCAAAGGTAACATTATCTAGAACTTGGTTGTGCCATACGTAACCGAAACCATGCTCTTCGAGTATAGTTTTTACATGTGAAGCCCAATTTTTGTTTCTATACGTGACATTGTTATCCGCGTCAAATTTTAGGACACTGTATGTTTTGAACGTAAGCGATAAGTTGTCATGCGAAATAAGTTTTCTCCAATATTTCAAAATAGTTATTTTTCGATAAATATTTAAAGGGACTCTACCAAGCTCCCCATACAAAGCTGATAAATTTGTTGATTTACGTACCCCTAGGATATACCTCAGAAACTTTAAGTGTATCATTTCAATATCAGTGGCTCTATGTGTACCCCATATTTCTGAGCAAAAATTCAGCACGGATCCAACTAACACATCAAATAAATGAATCTTTTTTGCGTTAGGCAATTCAATTTGTCGAAAAATAGAAAACAAGTTATGCAATGAAAACGAGGCATGGTCGGCAATTTGTTTCTGTGTGCGTGCCCAGTTACCATTTTTGAAAAAATTTACACCGAGATATTTAAAGGAGTTCACCAGTTCAATTTTTTGACCGTATATATAGAAATCTGCTAACGTACTTCTTCCATTTTCAAAAACCATGGCCTTCGTTTTGTTAACATTTATTTTCATACCCCATGTAGAGCAGTAATTCTCGATATCGTTAAGCATAGACTGAAGAGATTTTTGTGATGTAGCAAATAAAGCCATGTCATCCGCGTATAATATCAAAAATAGTTTGACGTCATCAATTGTTATGACATCATCTAAATCACTGTTAATGTTTTGTGTAATGTCGTTTACGAAAAACATAAACATAAGAGGCGAACTGGGTCTCCCTGTTTTTAATCCAATGTCAGAAGAAAGAAAGTCAGAGACTTCTGAATTATAACGCACGCATGACTTCACCGCAGTATACATGGATCTTAACGCCATGACAAATTTACTACTTACGTTTTCATTTATCAACTTTTGCCACAAAAATTGCCTGTCGATTTTATCGAAACACTGCTCGTAATCGATGAAATACAATAGAGTTTTTGCTTGGAATTTAGTATCTTAGATATGACGGCGTTTAATATAAAGATACAGTCAGTGATAGATTTTCCTTTTGAAAACCAAATTGGTTGTTTGACAATTTATCATGTTCTTTCGACCATTTACTCAAACGATTCAGTAATATTTGCGAATATATTTTCGCTATTATATTAATCAGTGTTATCCCGCGATAGTTCTTAGCAACGTTTATATCACCCTTTTTAAATACAGGGGTTATAATTCCTTGTCCCCATGCGGTGGGATATTCATGGTCATTAAAAATCTTGTTGTATAATTTATTGAGAAAGGGAGAGATTATGTCAAATGTCGATTTAAAAATTTCAGCGGGAAGATTATCTAATCCCGGAGCTTTATTACTATTTTGCATGAAAACAGCGTCACGGATTTCTGTATTAGATATTTCCAAATCCAACGAAATATTATTAGAATTCGAATTTTCGGGGATATGTTGGTCGTTATCGTTTGTTAAACCGCCGCCGAACATTTCTTGGAAATGTCTTTTTAGCTCATCAATTGTCAGAGAGCTTGCGATTGGAGTTTTCTTTTTATATGACTTCTTAATAGATTTCCAAAAGTCACGCGGTTGAGAAGATGCCAAGCTACTAATTCTACGACCTTCTTGTATTCTATAATTACGACGCGCTTTCTTTTTTACTTTATTATAACTAGTTCTCGCGCTAACATAGGCGCAACGGTTATCGTTGTTTTTATTTCTGTTATAATTATTTCGGCATGCACTAAACGTTCGTTTGGCTGTAAAACAGCTGTCATCAAACCATTTTTTATTTGAGAAGTCACATTTATTTTTGTTTACAGTAACTCGTTGTGTTTTCCCGAACACATCGTATGTTTGCATTTTCATGAAACTACAAAATTCGTTTACAGTACAGTCAATCGGTTGAGTGCATACTTCATTCGTTAGGCGGCTAAGTATGTCATGATTATTCATGAGTTTATCACGGAACAGCGGTATTTTACCTGTATCCCAGACAATTCGATTAATTTCATTACCTGAATTAATTTCCTTATTTTTGTCAATATTTGTGTGAACGATTCTGAATTCGAAAGATATACAAGCATGATCCGAAAATTCATTAAAATCATGAACCGTAAAATTAAAAACATTATCAAAATCTTGGTATTTCAATAACAGGTAGTCAACTAAACTTGCACCTAGTCGGGAGGTAAAAGTAACAGCCCCGATACCTAAATCACTGTCAAGCCTACCATTGGCTATCAAATAATTTGTCGCAATGCACATTGCTAGCAAACTCCGCCCACTATGATCTAGCACGTGGTCTTGACTTATTCTTAGCGGGATAGATGTAGTGTCAATAAATGGCTGATCACTATCTAAATATTTATCAAAAGTCAAAAAATCACAGCTATCGCTGGAACGAGCATTAAAGTCTCCAGAAATGAAGACTTTACCTAACAATTCGTACTTTAAAATACCCTTTTCTACCTCGTCATAAAAATCAAAATCATTAGTTTTTAAAATTTTGGAATCTGACGGGGGTATGTAAACATGGCAAATATAAACATCTGTTTTAAAATTAAACAACTGACCTGATATTCTTATCCACAATATTCCGTTATCAATACTTTCAACTATTGAAACATATTTTGCTATTTCAGTCTTAAAATACACAGATATTCCACCACTAAAACGTCCTCTAGAGTTTTGTTTAACCTTAGTTCCATATATATGATATGCCTTATAACCAGTAATATCTAAATTTAATGTTTCTTTCTTAGAAATCCAAGTTTCATTTAAGAAAAACAAATCAAATGAATCGATAAATTCTATAAAGTCACTGTCTGTAATGTTCCGTTTAAGTCCATTTATATTCCAAAATGCAACCTTAAGTGATTCCCTCTCATGACTTCCCTACTTTGTGGTTGGTAGTTTGAATTCCTCACCGTCGATGAAGAGTTTGGAACCAACAAATTTCACTGCTTTGTTGGCTTTTTTGGCGTCGTTCATAGCCGGGTATAAAGGTTTCCTTGCCTCTCTAATTCGTTTTGGCAGCTGGGCTCCTACGCCATATCCCAAGGCTTTTAATGCGGTGTTCTTGTTGAAGGCAGACTTTCGAACGAGCTCGCGTTCCTTAGGGTAGTGAAACTTCACTACAATGGGTCTTACTTTTTTGTTGTGCTGCGGCCCAATCCGGTGTGCACGATCGATTGTCACATTGTCCGGAATATCCAGAATGTCCGAGATAATAGATTTCACCAGGGTTTCACTGTCCTCGTTTTTGCCCTTTTCACATTCTGCTATGCCATAGAATAGCAAGTTATCCCTCATATCTCTCATTTCTAGTTCCGAAAGTTTATCGTCGAGATCCATTTCTTTTTCAAATAACTTTTTTGAATTGTGCTCAAAATTGTCGCAGGACTTTTTCAGATTCTTAATCTCCGATTTTGCGAATTTAAGCTCGTCTCGGTGCCTATCAAATTCCGTTGTCAGGAAACTACATGATTTTTCTGTTTCAGTCACTCTTAGGTCAATCATTTTTAGACTTTCTTCCATGTCGGTGACCTTAACATTTATAACATTCACGGTTTTATCTACTGTTGTTAATTTTTCCTTGATAAGTTTCATTTCTTCTAATATTTCACATGCCCACGGAGGCGGCTGTACCGGCTGTACCGGGTTACTAAAACCGGGTGGGGTTGTGTTCATAAGTCCAACAAAACCTCCGTGTTGAGAATAAGGAGAAAAAGACATACCACAACTTGTGTAATCCTCGAAGTTAAACCGCTTGTTAGTAGTATTCGTGTAGTCCGAATCACGATTTACCTGACTGATTTCACTTGTATTTTTACACGTGTCCAAAGGTGATATTACTTTTCGCTTATTTTTCTTCTTTTTGCCTGCACTATTTTGGCTATTTGCTATTCCAGACATAAATAATAATGTTTATACACTGGATTAGAACAAAAATTCCAAGAAGCGCTCGATATTTCACGTAAATAATTAAATTTTACTCAGAGCTAAAAAATCCATGTCCATCTCAAAATCATGACCTTGACCTTAAATTAATATAAGATATGTTATATTTCCTTGCTTTACAATTTATTATTTTCGGAAACATGTGCCTTTATTTGTTACTTTGGATTGACAGTTGTGTTAAAAAAGATACACATTGCAAACGCAAAAGTACCAATGATATGGTTGTACTCAAAGTGCGTTGTATTTAAATTGTTTAATAAATACGTACCTGCATGCATATTTTACACATAATAATTAACTGTTGAAAACTGAAATGTTTCTGGTATAACACTAAATATCCAATATGTTTTTTAACCGTATATATAGCAATATAAATCATACGGTTTCCAATAATATAAGGAGTGCTACTACGAATTTGTTTACGCAATTAAGTTTCTATTAATCAACACTATTAACATTAATGTTTAAATGAAATGATTTTCTATAATATGCAATATTTTACATTTCAGGCAAAGAAAGACACATTATTTCTTAAGTAGCAAGACATTAATAAACCATTAGATGTATGTGATTAAAAAGTGGTGCGACATGAATCATAACGAGGAAAAGGCGACAAGGAAGAAACACATCACCACTGCATAAGGAGAGAAACAAATTAAATATCTAATGTCTTGAAATACGTGTTTGTAGTCGGCACAAAATTAATAACATAGAGGAAGGAAAAGGGTATTAATAAGCCTAATATAGTTTGATTTTTAATACCATATATGAACAAAGAGAACAGATAGGCTTTACCAGCAGGGGCATATGGACACAATAAACTAATCTATATTTGACACTTGCCATCTCGATATATCTGTGACTTGTTTGATACTTTGAAACATTCAGAAAACAGGCCTCTTATTAATGGGAAAGTTCTTAACAACAATTGTTTTTAGAGTAGCAGCACGTGTCGGTAACGAAGTAATGTTGTCCCGTGAGGTTGTCTAATGAAATAAACATACTCTATGTGAATTTGTGTTGCTCTGAATAATTAATTAATGTGTTCGTTCGATTATTGTGCTTGATTATAGAATTGACGAGGAGCACTGGAAAAAAGATGTTACTGCAGATAAAAGGTAATTAAAAGGGAGACTGGCATCGGCGTTTGATGACGATAAGGATATATTACATAGATAGGAAGGATTTCTTTGAAGAGTTTATTGCTAGATAGTTTACATAAATATACAGTTAAGTTTACTACCTTCTGACTGGATTTGGGCATTTGATTACTCGAGAGTTATTGACAGTAGTCTGTCATATAAATTGTTGATCAAATTTCAAGAAGTAGTGAATATTTATTGTGATGTGTAGACTTCTTATGGGAATAATATAATTACAGTCCTGCAAGAGAAATCTTCAATTATCTAGAATATGAAGACTTAAATTGTAAAAAGACAGCAGAAAAAAGTTTTATATTACAAATATAATAATGTATGAGAGTGAATGAAGAGTATGAAAAGGTAGGAAGATAGTTTTTACAGCTATAAAACCTATGATGGTGACACCAGGGAGACAAATCTCCTCGTAGTTATCATGATTACTTTACCCGATACTTTAAATGCAGAATAAAATAAGGCGTGAATGTCGCCCGCTACGTTTTGTGAAGTAGCTGTGAACGCCGATAAGCTTATCTATATTTATGTGACAAGACGGATTGACAGTAAAACAGATTCATACAATACGGTAGGCGCGGTCAGCTTAACGTGCATAAAGTTACTTAAATTATATCACTGTGAAAAAAAAACAACTTATTAGCAGAGACTGTTTGGTGGTGTCCAAAGTCCTAAGAAAAGGATCACACAAGCTTTTGAGAGGAGAAAATCCCGATTGATTATCGATCTCAAGCTAAAGATTCAGATTTCATTTTTACACCATCCTGTCGTCTAATTGTTATAAATCCAATACTTCATGTGGTTAATATAATTGCAAAGGTAATTCGGATTTTACAGCGATGTCCTTTTCGTTTATTTTGTAACAAACCTGTTTGATTAACCAATAAACTATTACAGAGGGAGGATTATTGGAAATTATAAACGAGCAACGGGAAACACTGGTGATGCAATACCTGATGAACACGGAAAGCTACAAAAAGCTTTATGACCCTTAAAAGCAGACTGACATGTCCCGAAATAAGCAAACTGGGAGATATAAAACCACAATCAACATTCTTTCGGCAATACGTGGATCAATATCGACAAATGAGTCTAACTAATCTATTCAGTGAAACTGATTACAAAAAAGAGATAAAAGAAATAACAAAGTTGAACACGATCGTTTGATGATAATATAAAGGAATAATATCTAGAAAAAAAAAAAGAAATTGAACGGATTAATGCTGTCTACCATTCCTGTGTCTAAAAAGAAAATTATTTCTGTTAAGGAATTGAATAAATAACAAACCGTCTAGAAAACTTATAAGACACGTTTGATTGACAATTTGTGAATAATCCTGTCAATACTAATATTTAAACGAACATAGAAGAAATGATAAATTGTAAACAAACTTAACAAATGTGATAACATGTTCTGTGAAATTTGACCACTCTGCTGTAGGTACTGCTGTATTTCCATGGAAACAATAAAACGATGTTAACAGACTAGATATAGTTCAAAGAGTAGATCGATAAGGGCAAGATGTTACTATATTAAATATTGAAACAGACGGACTCTGTGGGCATCGGCCAAATTTGGTATAATTCATAGACACGCTATAAAAATGATGATGTGAGACCATGTCGGGATAGAGAGAAAATGAACTGCTTAGACGTTGGCAGACGGTCGTGTAGATAAATGTTGAACTTATTTGGAAGACGTCACTGTTGTTCAAGATGGGAATAAATTGAAAGCAAACTTTGCGTGCGTGTAAATAAGGCAGACAATTTAAATTATATTTCGTCATGCTTGCCTATAAATCAGTTGTCTAAGAATGACACTGGGATATAACTGCACGAAGTTTCCATGGTTTTTCTGAGACAACCGTAATCAATACTCTGTTGCATGAACGACAATTAATATCTTCAAAAAACATTTGGAATATTTGGAATTTGAGCTTCAAATAACATGTTACGTGTTAACAAGAAATCAAGCAAATTGTCATGAAAATGGAATCAAAATTTAAAGCGGTTTAATTTAATTCTCAATCTCAAATCGAGAATTATTTTTATATCCTTCTAAAGTTTCCGGATTATTAAAATTTTGATTTATTACCGAAAGTTAATAATCGACATTATTGAATATGCGATGCAACTTATTGCGTATTTAATCTTAAGAGAAAACGAAATTTTGCTTCGTCACGTATTGGAAATTATGCATCTATTGGATCCCGTGAAAGGGGTTTAATGGTTATTTCGAAATCTACTAGAGATTTTATGTAAATGATTCTTCTACATAAAATTTTAGAAGATATTGGATTTGTAAAGAGGTATTGATTGAGTATCACTCTTACATAACACAATATAAAATAATGGTGGACCGTCTTATAATGTGTTGCTATCTTGTCTTATTAATGGAGGCACCATATCCGATTTAATAATGCTAAATTAATTTCTTAAACTTGGATAACATTGGGCGTTGTTTACATGTGAAGAAATTCGCAATGCTGTGGTAAAGTATGGCGAGTGTCAAAACATTTCGTTCAAAATAAATATTTATTTTTAGCACGTGATGTGACATAAAGAATAATTGTTATTTTATAAAAGTGACTTATTTATTTTTGAATGAAAGTTGTAAAAATTTAATTAATATTTGAAGGACAAAATGATTGACTTTGGTATTGCACTAACATGGATGATTATTTCGCCACTTGCTTTTGTTACGGATATATTTGCTATTGTTGTGATCACACATTACTTTCCTTTCTTTCACGGAACTGACGTCACGTTAATATCCATTCTTACGGCTATGGCGGGAAACGCTGTGTTTGTATTACCGATCCCAGCCTTTCTTGAATTAACAGACAGAAGATGGAACCCTAGTTTATGCACTGGGTATCTATGGTGTGTTTTGACATTTCGGTTATCGCAAATTTTAAGCCTAATGGTGATAAGTATACATTGGTCTACTTTACTGAAAATGTCCGCTCAAAAGAAGAAATATTTTTCGACGAAATTCTTAAAAATAACAATTGTGTTCATTTGGATATGTTCGGCGATATTTGGAATGCTACCACTTATTGGAGTCGCAGAAGACGATTTTAATGAGAAGGACACGTGCAAATTTCTTGCCTTTAACATTGGCGGTGGATACGGATTATTTTTTCTTATAATTATATTCACAGCCATGTTTGTCGCCATATTATGTGCTTCAGATGCTATGATATTAATAAAACATATGAAAGTGGTCGCGAAAACTAAGTACCAAGCCGGACGATTCCACATTCCAGACAGGAGGTCGGATTTACCTTTACATGGGAACAGTTCATTAGCGGAAAGGTACCACAGACTCCAGTTTGCATGGGACCTCAGTAAATTTGCATTAGTTTTCGTGATATTGTCCTTCACCATCAACCAGTTTCCGTATGCGGTAAGTACGCATGTTTTATTGCATTCAATTTCAGTCTTTTGCCTCAGAAGAAAAATGGGATTATTAAGAACCTCAACAACACGCTTTCAAATGCTTTTAGAATTTGACAAGATGTAATTAAAATACTCTAGTCATGTTTAAGTCGGTGAACAAGTCTCTGAATAAAGCAATACCTTAAAAGCCTTTTAGAAGTCTTAACAATAAAATAAAGAGTGCTTGTTAATTTTAAAGCATTATATATGTCTTTGATGATCGATTTTAGTATTTAATTTGATAGGTTTGATAAGGACTCACTCTGAATAAAGACCTATTTAACCTATTTAAAGTTTTATGACTGTTTTAAGTATGTCGTTATAAAATCGTTTTAAGGCCAAAGTTGTTACGTCAATAACATTGACATAAAATAGAAAAAAATCAAATCACAGACATATAAAGACGTTATGGTTATGGTTTAATTAAAAAATGGGTGCCGTTTCCTGTCCTCGGAATTAGGGGACAAAAGTAAGTTTTTATAAGTTTTGTGCATGAAAGAATATTATCTCATTCTGATACTGAATGGGACAGTGAATAAGTTCTAAGTGTAGTAAAATAAAATATAAAATTTCATATGAGAAAACACACCCTTCCCCTCCCAAAACACACTCCTCCCCACAAAACACACTCCTCCCCACAAAACACACACGCACAAAAAAAAAATAGAGCGTAAAGTGAAAGAAATTCCACCTCACCCCCACTTCACCGTTTATATTCTTTATGAAAATGACATTTCGATCATCTAGTGAACTGGTCTAGGTTTTCATATAAATGTCATTGAATTAAAACTTGTAGATTTGTTTCCCTGCTCTCTGTTTCCTAGTGTTTCGTTTTCGCACTAGGGTTAGAGGGAAGTCTAAATCATATACAAGCATTTTTCCCCGTCTTAATTCTTACTCAGTGCTTTACTTTTCAGTTAGGGGCAAATCATATAATTGTGCTGTCCAATGAATACATTTTATAGATTACTTGCATTTGTTTATCTATATTCTGCCTTGTAATGTATATATCACATTTGTATACTTATTGTGTCTGTAGTTATGTAAAAACTGGTTGTGTAATTGTTCAAATCTTCATGTATTATGGAGGATAATAAATAAATAATAATAATAGTACTGAAATATTAATAAAATACTTAAATGTCCCCATTTGTCAACGTAATATCTAAGAGATTGAATTTATTTGAAGTAACAGTAGCGCAAAAAATGACAATGCAAACATTTTTTTTTAATGCAAACATTTGAAATTCTATAATGCTATGCTCTATTCATCATAGAATCTGTTGTTTTTTTTCTCATTCATTTATGTCTTCTGACATTAATACCACGCATTCTATTATGCACGGTGTTAATAATTAAACTATAGTGAAATAACTGACTGAGTGGTGGTAATATTCCTTTATGCTTGTTAGCGGAAATGGCAAATATAATATGTATTCTATTTCATATTTGATATTACTCAGCAATTTTCTAGATATCTCAGAGTAAAAAGGAGTGTATACATGTATAAGATCTGGCTCTGTTAAATATGTAGTACAAGTATTGTATATCAATATGTTAGTTTATTTAGAGCATAAATAAATAAATAAATAAATAAATAAAAACAATACAAAGAATTTGAAATCACACGTGCCATACTAGTTTTCTCTGGAAAATCATAATAAGTACACGTTATTACACGAAAAATTAATACAGAGGCTATTATTTCACACTTTTATTAACTGCCAGGTTTCTTGTATGTAACAATTGATAAAGATCAAATACAGTTAGGGATAATATTACATAATTCTAAAAATAAAAGACACCAAAGCGTCAAGCAAGTATCTCATAGTCAATAAACCATTAAATCCAATTCAACTAATGTAATATCTTATTTTTTTCTATGATAAAAATATCAGGAAAAATTAACCGATCACTGTTGGTGCCAAGATGATGATGGTAAATGTTAACATCGATTTGTTTACGTCTGCTGACATATTCTACACAAACAATCTTCAGTTTCTCAATAATTGTATTTGAAGTTTTATTGATCACAATATATCTCTAGTGATGTAAAGGCTTCAGTGGCGAAACATAGCATTTAAATTATCAAATAAACATGTACAAACATATTGTTTACATACCCTCATGGACCCCCAAAACAACCCCTACCCCCATTAAAAAATGCATAATGCAAAATGTTCTGTTGCTATTTAAATCCTTAAGATCTGTACAGGCCAGTATTAGGCGGCATGTCCATGCTGTCTGAGTTGCATCGTTTGCTATCCAGTCAGTACCAATTTTGATTTATTTTCCTAAAATTTTGATTGGTTAACTGGGAATTTTTTTTAAAGAAATTTAGAATAGTGTGTGTTCCAAAAGGTTATCAATTACAGTTATTTAGTGAAGTGTGATCGCTGTAAAAATTTCCCATTTACTTTATCCCAGCATTGATACAAATGCTTTTAGTACTTTTTTTGACTACTGCTCTTCAACCGGTGCTAGGGGGGGGGGGCATTGCACGTTCTAGGAGGAGGGGGGGGGGGGGGCATTGCACGTTGAATCATCTCTCACGAACAGACTGAATAAAGTCAATAAAGTTGAATTTGAAAATTATATCTTACTGATTTTGTTTCTTTCCTACTGTTCTCGAGGGACCTCTCTTTTTTCAAATAAATTTTCAAGCAATGGTTTCTCGGATGTACTGTCTGCTATCAGAAATGTTCAAGTCAGTTTGTTCCATTTAAGTATATAGCTGTACTATGCTCATAGAGTAGAATAATTTTATCGCAGAAATTTATTGAAATCTATAAAATTCTTTCTGAATATGTCTGATTTGAATAAAATAATGAATAAACTATGTGTGGGAAGCAGCATTCACTAATACAGGTCAAGTAAACTTGGTCTTTTCTGAACAAAAAATGCCAGTTTCTTTAATAACACTATATGATTCATATTGTGTCAACCTATACAGTAGTGTGAAGAGTTTAAAACATGACATATTTACTTTGTGTGTTGTCAAAAATAATGTTTATTGTATATAAACAAAGAGACTGTGTAGCGATGATCAATATTTTGAAACATCAAATCATTATCATATCATATCATATCATATCCTATCATATACATCATATCATATCATATCAATCGTACATCTTGGTATATCTGTAATACTCTTGCTGTGATAAAAACAAATGTTTTAACTAATATCAGTTTCTGCCAAGCAATATAACTTTAGACCATTCATCATTTATTTCTATAATCTATAATTGTCATTTTAATAGTTTCCATAACATTCAAAGTATATTTGTACTATGTGTCTAAATTAGGACTGTAGATGATAATATGAAGTCAAAGCATATAATTAAATAAAGGTTTTATGAACCGGTTGCCATGGCTTTGATTGATTTTTATCACAGCATAGGAAGGGCGTATACTTGAATGAGAACATAGTAGAGAAATGTTATAATCGAACTTTATTATCATTATAATTTAACTTTGTACTTATCTTTACATGTACATGTATTCATTAATCGATTAAAGTTAGGTAAGATGCTATCAGGGTAACATGTAAAATTTCAGCCGGTTTTTGTTAAAAAATGCATTTATTCTACTTGATACAGTGCAAATTTGAATTGTAGTTAACTTTTTGGGTTCCAGACCATATATGACTGCAAAGAAAATCTACGATACGTTAACAAAATCAACACCATTCCTCCCCCGAAAAAATAATAAAAACAACAACAAACCCCCCCCCCCCCCAAAAAAAAAAAAACACAACAAAAAAAAAAAAAAACAAATAAAAAAAAAAAACCAAAAAACAACAACAACCCCAACAGCAACAACAAAATAAAACCAAACAACTACTCCACAAAAAATCAACAACAAAAAACAAACAAACAAAAGAAGAAAAAACAACAACAAACAAACAAATTAAAAGACAAAAACAACAAAACAAAAAACAAAAGACTATTCGTTTTGTTTCAGTAAATGATCGAAATATATTTCCGGAGGAGATACCAGTATGATGTTTTATTTTCATATTTTGCGTGACTTGAGAGGAGATACAACAGCTGGTATACACCGGTGAAATATAAATTGATGCATGTACATCAAACAAAATTAATGTTCTATTTATTTCATGCTATTGTATTGGTTTTCATGCGCTTAAAATTACTAATTCTGTAATTCTGCAGCGCATCGTTATGCGTTCTCCGCGATTAAGACATAAAAATAATTCTGTGAAGTTTTTTGAAATTTTATTACGCTCATGTGTTTGCATTAATCATGTACATTTAACGATGGATGTCATTTTTTCTGAAAGTTCGATGAAATTATAAGATATGCAGTTCATCTGCTGTCGGAAAAAAACTTCGGCTAAGGTGGAAATATAGTTTCTATAATCCAACCGTGAAATTATCAAATTGTGATATAATATAACGTTTATATCGTTATTTACAGTTTCAGTTTCAGTTTTTATTAAACCAAGGCATATAATACCATCTTAATTAGTACGCGCTATCAGTAAAAATCAGATGCGTAATGATTTCTAAAGCTAAAGATATCGTTAAAACAACAACAACAACCATTGCAAAAGCAACAGCACCCACTCCAAAAACCCCCAAAAAACCCCAACCCCCCAAAAATACCCCTAAAACCCAACAAAAACAAAACAAACAAAGGAACAAGCAAACAAACAAAAGTAAAAAATCACACCCCCTCCCCCCAAAACAAAAACAAAAACAAAAACAAAAAAACAAGCAAACAAACAACAACACCCCCCCCCCAAAAAAAAAAAAAAAAAAAAAAAAAAAAAAAAACAACAAAAAACAACAACAAAACACAACCAAACAAACAAAAACAAACAAACAAACAAGAAACTACAAAAATCCACAAACAAACAAAAGAAAACAGCAAAAAACAACAACAATACATCAAAACAATGGATTTTGAGTTAATTGAACAAAAAATCATCATGATGGCTCTATG